TTTTCCATCATTAGCAATTATGTCACATTTTTCTCAAGGCTTCTATTATACTCATTATGCCAGTCCCGACCATCGTCTAGTACAATTGTATTTATGGTTGTTAGGTTCCAGTGGTATGTTCAAATATTCTTTGAAGAGGTTGCATCTTTTTTATAATACAACACTCTTAATATAGCCTTTTTTTTCGTTTTTGACAGCATGAAATGTAGAAATGCGTAGGAGTAAATGAGCATCTATTTGTATAATGCAGATTTGTTGCGTGGTAATGATGTTGCCATAATTTCAAAAAGTAGGAAAGTACAGTATATACGAGTCAATTGATTTAACAGGTCAAGGATCAAGAAGATAATTCTTTTCCAAAATGTGCGTGATACATAATAGACGAGTTAGGAAAACAACATTAAAGAGAAAATATTTGAATAAAATCAATCAAAACAATTGAAAAAGCTTGTTAGCGCAGCTCCTTCGGAGCTGAAATGTGGAACTCACGTATATCCTTCAACCTTGTTATCCTAATACATCATCCGTAAACTGAAAAAATTCTCGTCGACTGTAGTTGTTTTCACTAATAATCGATGACAAGAGCGAGAATTTATTATTTATTTCTACATTTATTTCTAAATTTAAAATAGAATTTTTCTTTCTACAGGCGCCCTATTTTTTGTTTGCATTGTTGCTATTCGCTCATTATTTTTTATTATTTTTTTGATTCGTGTTTTTTTAATTTAATATTCTTATTATTATAATCATTGAATCGGCAAATAAGTCTATTTTACATATCCATGATACCTATATCAGATTTTATGCATTATTATATATATGTTAACCAACTCACAAACAATGATGTTGACTAATCTTCAAAATTACTTGAGCAATTTTTCAAACTCTAGAAAATCTGACACCTTTTATTCTCTATCGCTAAAGTCCGTAATGAGGGGAGGGGGAGGTGTCTGTGATGGAGGGAGAGGGGGGGGGAGAGCCGCCAAACCTCGAACTTAAAACTTACACTCACTATTTTCTTCGAAAATATACGTGAGTTCCACGAAATAGATAAAGATGGAAGAAAGGAAAAGAAGAAAAAAAACAACATATATATACAGTAGAGTGCAAAAATAATTGCCGATAGACTTTTCAAAGTTCTTCTCAGAGAAGTATCAGATATTATGATTTTTTAGTGTTGTTGTACTACCCAGATACTGTACTATACAAATATATTAATCATTAAAACTTTCGCATTCTCTATGAGTTTAAAGAAGATAATAATCTTACGTTCTTGGAAAGAATAAAAAAAATTACAAGTTAAGCATCAGTTTTAATCCAGTTGTCGGGTCAGAATCTTTTTGATTCATCAATATCTTAAAGTTTTTCATTCATATCAATTGATTGAATGGTCTGGAAGAATAATTTAACTAGATTCAGACTTGTGCTATTAAGTAGCCAAACGATAATTTTACCTATTTAAGGCTGGTCGATCCTATTGTTAGCCTTATTATAACACAGTGTTACGCTCCTCAATCTTGAAAATTTTATCATAACTAATGTGAATAAGGATCATCGTTATACAGTAGTTTCAAACTTCTTCTCGATAATTATTACTTCAATTATGTAATATGATTTATTGGTCAGATCAGATGCACGTAATGCTTGAATTATAAGTCATTTTTGGGCAAATACATAACAGTTTTCGAGCAATTGCCGTCTCATTGAATGCACCAAGGCAGTACCTAACACTTGCACATAACTCGAGAAAAATCGCTCGAAGAACGTACGAAACAGTTTTAAAGAAAGTCAATACACTAAACGGCAATTTTTTTGCACTCTACTGTATATATGTCTCTCGCACTTTCTCTCTGTACGACATCTGGAGGAAAAAAAAGATATATGCGAATCTCTCTATAACATACATATAAAATGTTATTTATCCCATGTATTTTTTATAATATATAGTTTCATCAACAAGTCTAGATCATACTAAACGTGAATGATCGAGAATATAAAAAAAATGAACGAGATTAATGAATAATTATTCATTCTTTACTGTAAGATTTTTTAAAAACTTCGATGTACAAGATTAATTTTTGTTCGCTTGCTTTATTGTACAAACGTTAATTTGTTAAAAGAAAATAAATATTAGTTTAGCTTTGTAATATCTTGAAATTTCAGTAAATAAAGGTTTTTCATATGGTTGAGAATATTAAGTTGTATAGTTGAGTATATCATACAAAGATTTTCTTGTCACATGTTGTTTTTTATTTTACCTCTTTCTTCCTTCTTCTTTCGATCATATCTTCTTTTCTGATTTTCAAGGAAGTGCCAAAACACATGCATTCAGACAACTTGACAAAGCTATTACAAAAATTGAAAAAATGTTCCCATCAACGTACCTTAAACCTAGTATAGTGAACGGTAAACTAACCGAATCGGACTTATCATCCATCATTACCCATATCAATCATATTGGATTGAGACAGCATCTTTCGTCCAATAATAAAATATTGTTAAGCGATGATACGGATCTTATTGATGAGACTTATGAGCAGAGCTGTCGCGAGCGGGGAGGAGGGGGGGGAGAGAAGTGACCCCCAATGTTTTAGTCTTAATTCAATATTTTGTATTGAATCAGTGTAATACTAGGCATTGAAAAAAATCGAACCAGATTCACTATATTGACTATGAGTAGAAGAACCTTATAGCCATCACTAAAATTTCTCATAGATAAAGTAACAAGGATAGAGTGAATGTGAAATTAAACTTCGCGTTATTGGATCCATACTTCTTCAATGTACTGTACTTCTCAAACAATCAACATCAACAAATGTAACACATGAAGAATTTGTGAAAGCTACGTACAACTATGCAACTGATCTTGTTACTTGTTCAAGTGAATCGAAGGAACTGTGTTCTCAAAGAATTAATCAATTAAACAAAGATCGTGATAATATTTCTTTGTTTGAACCAAAGAATCGAGCATTTATGGAACGTGATCCTGGTAAGTTTCTTACCAGAAAATCTATGTTCCTATCAGTTCGTTGATATTTGCACACTTAGGTGGCTATCCTGCCAATTACAATTATACAGATGAAGAACGACGTTTTTTCGTAAGCGTTGGGTCATTCCAACCACTTTTATCAAGTTTTCTAAGAAATGATGTTTTGTCCACTGCCAAAGATACCTGCAAGTTTGTCGGCAAATGGTACACAGAGTATTTGATGATCGAATATAATATAATAAAAGATGCGGCGTTTTGTTTTGTCTACAGATGGTTTCATGAAGGTAGTATTTTAATACTTGACTCATTCATTAGCATTTCTTGTCTTGATACTTATTTAGGTCCTGGTGATCAGAAAAAAGATAAAGCATGGATCGAAGTCGGTGTTAACTCATGGTCGAAAATGAAAGGCCGAGGGTGTGATAAAAAAAGGTTAATGCTAAGATTAATCGCTTTCAGTCAAACATTTTCATTTTTTTATTAAAGGAAAATTAGAGGCCCATTTTTCGTCAGTTGCTCATAAAGCTTCATATGAACGATATTTCATTTTCAAAAATAAATCGTGCAATGTCGACAATTTACTGAATGAAAATTGTCGAAAAGCTAAACAGCAGAAAAAAGCAATACTTAAAAGAAATAGAAATATTATTATTACATTAATTGACGCGGTCAGATTTTTGGCCCATCAGAGATTACCATTTCGTAATGAACCTGCTGAAGAAGGTAATGGAGAAAACTGATCATTGATGCTTTTTAATTCTCTTGACATTTTGCTTTTCTTATTCATGATATAGGTAACTTTATTCAATTGATCAATCTTCTACGGCGTCTCGATAAAATATTTGATGACTGGTTCCATCAGGAAAAACTTAACGTGTATCAAGTAACAAATACGATCTTATTAATAAAACACAAATAGCATATTGCTATATATTTTTCCTGTGTAGGTCTCCTATCTAAGCGCACAATCCCAAGATGTATTCATAAAATTGTTAGGACAACACGTTCAACAGACAATTATTGCTCGTCTTAATAACTCTTTATTCTATTCGGTAATAATAGATAGTACACCTGATGTATCTAATAGAGAAATTTATGCGATTGTTGTTCGATTTACAAACAATTTCAATGTCGAAGAAAGACTAATTTCGACGGTCGAGTTGTCAAGTAAAATTGGTTTAGATATTTGCAACATGTTTTTTTTCTATAACGGAACAGCTGAATATTTCACCGAATAAATTGATTGCTCAATGTTATGACAACTGTAACGACATGTCTGGTAAAAACAAATGTGTTCAAGCCTGTATTAATGACAAATTACAACGAGAAGTAGTTTTCATACCTTGGGGGCACATTCTTCTAACTTAGCAGTTAAGTATGCTTGTGACTGTAATACAGAATTTATTTCACTATTCTATCTTTTACAAGAACTGTATAACTATTTTACAGGAAGTGCTAAACGACACCATATAGTTCGAGAAAAACTTGAAGCTTCAAAGTTTGGTCTACTGGTTAAAAATCTTGAGAGTGTGGGCGGGTGTGGCTGTGCGTAGGTGTGGGTGTGGGTGTGGGTGTGAGCTAGAAAATCTTCTATACTCACACCCACACTGCGTGTGAAGACAATACACACACCCACATCCCACCTCTATGGGTTACTTGGTTGATCTCTTCATCTATTCTTTCTTCTTTCTGAAATGCTATTGTGCTGTTATCTTTCTTCATTACTCATGTATTAGAAAACTAGAAATTCATCGGTACTTCCAATTTGCAATCTGAAGCTCAATATGTGACAGAGATCCTTACGGAGAGTCGAAATATGTTGTAGTTCATACGAGACACGCAACTGTTTCGTCATCTAATTGGATTTGTCAACAAATCAAGTAAATTATGAAACTAGAGAATCAGAGCTCTAGATTCACTTGAGCTATGCTTGCAAGTTTCTGACAAAAGTGCGTATCCGGTGATGAACGCTGCAGTGTTTAGAAATGTTTTTTTGTTCATTTTTTGAATTTCAACATGTATATAGGATTCTGGTCCATTGTTGATTAGTACCACCACTCGAAGACCAAGCAATAACATATGTATTAGGAGCTGCATTGCTTGCTGGGATATCCATAACTTTACTTGCAGCTGGACAAGACATCGTTACGCCACTAAATAACCATATTTGATTTTGTGCTACGATATTTGTCCCTAGAACGAGATTCGTTCCAGAAATACCGCCGCTGATCTGAATCACCAATCCAGCAGCCGCGTTTCGAATAGTTCCATTTGGATCGAAAAACCACAATTGAGTGTATGGAATTACACCGCTTCCATTATAAATATAATTAGTAACAAGCTGAGTGCCTACTGTAGTTGAGCCACCCAAAAGATCAATCACTAAGTAATTCATTAATGATTGAATGTAATAAGCGTGATCGCAAACACCTGTTTCAATTGAAAAAAAAGTTATATTTCTTCTCAGCACAAAATCAAGTGATTTGAAAATTGTTTTGACAATTTATTATCTGGCAAAATACGGGGTGTACGGGTAAACTTGAATTTGGTCGAAAACAAAGATAAGGGTGCATGTGAGAATGTGAGAATAGTGGAGATTTTTACTTTCATAACCTGTGATTATCGGCACACTTACTTTTCGATATTTGAACCATTTTGAGTTTTTGACCAAATTCAAGACAATCGTCAACCGGATAAAAATGAGGTGCTCGGATTGGCTGAAGGCATGCCATACCAAAACGGATTTCTGGGGCCGAAGCCTTTGATAAAACTGTATGCAAAAGCTTTTTTTTTAAACATAGCCTCTGCACAAGGAACATACCAAATGAAATGGTATTTACCTCATGCTAATCACTGACTCACTCAATTTGAAGTGAAGTGGCAAAGAGAAAAGCCTAACCTAATAGTAAGTATTAAGTGATTCATTAGCACTTAATATTAACAAATTAACAGGAGGTTGTTGATCTTTCTTTATTAATATTAATGGTTAAGTGAAGCCATTAAAGATTTGTTTTAGTTGGCTCACTTTAAAAATGGTCCAATCTAAGCAGCAGCTATCGATATCTCTTGAAAAGTTATAGGGATCATCCTATACAGGAACTAAAGCACGGTGAAATACAAGTGAAGTACAGGGAAGTATGCACTCCCGAAGTCCCACTTTTTCCTCTTGTTTCGACGGCGCATCTTTTACCAAAAAAATTTGAGATTACATCATTTACCTATGCCGACATATATAGAAAATAAAAAAGTCCTTTAAACATTTTTTATTATGTTCAATAAGATGCGAATAAAGATGTGCGGAACTGGACTCCGAGACTATATGATGTTCTTAACTCTGTTAGTTTTCAAGTAAAGTTTTTCGTGTATCATAAATTAATTTATTATTGTTATACTAATATCTTGTAATACAAAATGCAAAACCACAGCATGATTAAAGATATGTTCGACCAGTTCTGATTCTGATTTCAGCTCCGACCACCAGAATCAGTACCGAGCCAGGATCTCGAGAAAACTGCCGGAACTGGAATTCAAGGTTATAGTAAAATATTTTCTAATCTTATTCAAATTATCTCATAAATCATATGAAATAGAACATAATTCAAGAAAAAACACCGGAAAAGTGCTAGTCGTCGACTAAATAAGTAAAAAAAAAACGAGTATTGTAGTCAATCCTACGAACCCGTTCGATCTAATCCAGTCTTCAGAGTTCTATCGGAGTTCTAACTGCCTTCAAGTAAGATCATCTTGAGTTTCAGACACTAGTTGAAAACTTATCTAGAGAGCATATAGATTTATCAAAGAATAGCGCTGACTGCATAAATTCTACAACTTTATTTATCAATATTTTTCAAGAGAAACTTGATTTACTAACTAAAGACTAATCTATTTTATCAGCCCAAAATATGCCTAATTCACTGGTAAAAAAAGTAACATCCATTCAATCAAAATGGTTCTTTGAACTTTAAAAAGCTGTAGACCATCGAAAATGAGGAGAAAAGATCGAGGAACTGCAGCCACTTCTTTTTCTCTTCGTTGCGCATGATCGAATGGGCTTTGTTTTCTGACATGATGTTTCTCCATTTTTCGAGATATTTGAAGTGCAAAGTTGACGTATTTCAACGATCTTAGTATATGGGAAGTTCAACACTTTTCAAGAATTCAAAATATATTCATTAAACCGTTACAGGAAACAATATTTAACTATTTAGCCTACTACCTACCAGTAGTAGTTGTTGTTGTCGTCGTTGAGGTTGTTGTTTTCGTCGTTGAGGTTGTTGTTGTTGTCGTTGACGTTGTTGTTTTCGTCGTTGAGGTTGTTGTTGTCGTCGTTGAAGTTGTTGTTTTCGTGGTTGAGGTTGTTGTTGCTGCCGTTGTTGTGGTCACTATTGTTGTTGTTATTGCCGTTTTAGGGATGCCGATCAATGCGACAAGCATTGCAGAAATGCCCGCGCCAAAAAGTAGAAGAGCAAGTAGAGACAGAAATAAACAGATAGGTGAACATAAGCAACGAATGTGTTTAAAGTAGCTAAGTAAACGATTTTTAAAACTTAATAAGAAAAAAATGCAAAACAATTATTTACCGTTTCTTTTTATTTCTATTCGACGCTTGGTGATGGATACCCTGATACTCCACTGCATCTGACAATAACCCAGTTGTCTGAATTAATATAAAAGATGAATATAGACAAAAGAAAAAGGATAAATAGTTCCATTTTGGTTTCAGTTTTATCATCGAATCAAATAAAATTATTTGAAATAACGTCTCAAATATAAATATGACCCATTGGAAGAAAAATAATTTTATATTTAACTAATAGAAATGGAAATATTACGAGCACTTAGTCACTTTAGTTTTTACCAACAAATACTTGTTGACTATTCGTTGTCTTTTTAAAATATATTCTCGAAACTCCTTCAATCTATGATCTGACTTTTGATCAATCTCTAATCTGTTTTCTAAGGCATATGTTTTTGATGGAACCAGGAAAAGTTCGATTACAATATGAAAACTAACTAAGAAAAAGGCTGTTGAAATATATATATAACATGATAGTATTTCATTGTGTTTTCAATTCTTATTTAGTACTTTCCTTTTGAAATACTTTTTTTTCAACATAGATGCTATGTAAATGAATACGTTTCCAGTTTGTTTTATGTAAATGATGCTTAAAGGCAAACATTTTTCTTTGAAGACACGTCAAAATGCAGTTTTTGCGCAACAAGATCCTAAACTTCTCTAGTTCTGTTGTTATTCTATCCTTTCTCACTAAACGTTTTAGATATAAATTCTATTTCTTAAAATTAACTATTGTATGGATCCAAATTACGTTGCCCATTGATCAAAGGAGAAAAAAGTGTAGAAAACATACATAAAAATCGTTTACTTATAGAAAAAAACATTAGATTTTTATTACAATGGTCATTCTCTCAGTCGGGAGAGTCACTTCATTAAAAGTTTAGCTAACAGAGTATGTGGTCAAACATATCAGTTGTACACAGATAAACTTATTAGAGTAAAAAAATTGTTGAACGGTCTCTCTATCGAAGTTTGTACGAAACTAATGTTCGTTTCAAAATGTAATGCGTCTCACTGTTTTTTGAATAACTCAAGAACGCAATCAGCTAGAGACGTGCAGTTTTCACCAATCGAAAGAAGAGACAGGGGAACGTCTTTTTCTCTAATATTGTATCAGACAAAATCATTTTAAAATCAGTTATTTCTGTAGAACATCGAAAAAATGGTCTGTCACTCAGATGAAATTTTGACAAAAAAGGAAGAAACTTTGCTTAAAAATCAAAAGAAATTCATAGTTTTCTTGTGAGTAAATAGACGATTTTGTTTCCTCAACGTTAGAATGCGGTAAGATAATCATTCGAATTATATCTTGAAGTATAGATCCGAAGTCTCTCTATCTAGATCATATGTCAAAAGGAAAATTTCTTCAGAATGTCGAATCGTTTTTTGATGCATTTTTAGCAATATTTTGCAGAAATGACTGATTCTAAAATGATTTTGTCTGACACAATCTTAGAGAAAAAGACGTCCCCCTGTCTATTCTTTCGATTGGTGAAAATCGCGCGTCTCAAGCAGATTGCATTCTTGAGTTATTCAAAAAACAGTGGGACGCATTATCTTTTGAAACGGACATTAGAACTTTTGACCTTTTCTAAAATTCGATGAAGATGTGTAGTTCAAATAAGAACTTGTTCATACATAGAACGAAAACTAAATAATTTCCAGATCTTCAATAATAAATACTTAGGTGTATAAAACCTAATAATGAGCATGCTCCTCATTTTGCTATCTTACCTGTATTGATGACTGGGAATATAGATTAGTTTTGGTGTCATTGTCAGCATGTGTTCGATTGTTTACTGATTTACCAAAATTTTGACTGACAATTTGCTTGGCAGATTTATTCTGGGGAGAGGCATCTCTCATATATTCCTTCTTTTCTTTCTCCTCCCCTCCAATCACAGCAACCTGGAATTTATCTTGATGATAACGCGCAGCTAACATAGTTGACATCTATTTACACAAAGAGAAAATATGAATAATCAAAGATTTTAAGAATATAATAACCGGGAAAGTAATGTCTTGAGAATTGGCAGACTGATTTTTTGTCGGATGGATTTTATTTTTGGGTGATCGAGTGGTTACATGGATAACAGAACGAGATCGCATATCTTTTGTCAATTCATGATGATACTAGATTGAATGACTCGTAAGAAAATAAACAGAAATTGCAATGGTGAGTTATGCACTTGATGAGAAAGTTTGCGGACAGATGGTACCGATAGCGGAGGATAACGTGAAATATTGTGCGGATCTATAAGTATAGTTAACACTACTGGATAAGAATGATTACCCTGTATTTTACTATGTTTATCGACTTGATCTTGATTGTAGTGTGTGATTGTGTTCGACAAGAAAATGAGCGTTTGTAGTTCACTTCACTGATGCATCGTCATATTATATATTGCAGACAGAAGAAAAAGAATTAGCAGATAAATATGCATGTTGTAGGCTTCTTCAGAATGAGGCGGTGTATGTTATACAAAGATTTCTTATAGGTCGATAGGAGACACTCAGATTTCACCAAATACATTTTCTAACGAAAAAAATTGAATTAAGATACTTTTCTTTTTTTACATCTAATACAAAGTCATGAATTTCATATGCATAAAATTGCTGCACAAGCGAGAGTTAATTGAAAATACCACTTGAATCCTTCTCCTTTTTTTTCTTGAAATCTCACTGACAATACTCAGATTTTTTTTTAGTTTTGTATGCAACACGCAAAGAAAAGTTGTAAGCTTCGTAGCACCTACAAATCACTGGTGTTTGAATCATGTGTGACTTGTTGTAGAAGACCTGTAGGTGATAATTGGAATCATATGATAGTATATTTGAATAGGAAGGAGCCACGTCAGTCTATGGTTTTTTCGATTTAAAATTGAAATCGAGAATACAGATTCACAAATAGTTTCCAATAGTAGGATAGAATCAATGGAACTTTCTTTCAATTGAGATATGGAAGTATTTTATTTCTCAATGCAAATATTGTGATTAAACTCAACAATGTCAAACGAGCTTGAACATTAGTGTACTGTGATGATATTCTTTGAGAATCAATCAGAAATCCAGCGCACAGATGATTCATTGTCGCTCACTTCGACATCGGTTTATTTATTGTATAAATCAAAAAGAAAAAATAATTAAATCGAAAGAAGCGCTTCCTTTTGGCTTCTTATTCAATGCAACACACAACTCAATCTTTGGAATCATAAATAAGAATGAATGTCGATAATAAAATATAGAATTATATTGAAAATGAATTGAGTATGAAATAATAAGGTCTATGGAAGAAATTGAACAAACGAAAAAACTAGTTTTACCAGTTTTGGGCTCTTTACTAGACTAACATCTCAGCTAATAGCGTATAGGGAAAGCCAGAATTCTCACATCTGAGATGTAAATAAAGCTAAGCTCTTAGCAGAATATTCGACAACATTTTTCGATCTACACTCTCGTTTATTTTTAGTTCAAACTTCGAAACATACACTAACGCAAAATGAGTACCATCAATTGCTAAAAATCAGATTACGAGAATCTTTTTAGTATTACTCTATATCAAAATTCCATATCAACAAATTGAATTTTAAGTTTTACAATCTTTGGTTTATTTTATTTCATAGATTTCTTTTTCTGCAAATTCAATTCATTTTCAATTCAACTCTACGTTTTATTGTTGTAATCAAAGATTGTTCCTTATTCGGAAGATTGAATCGTATGTTACATTGGATAAGAAGCCAAAAAAGAAGCATGTCTTTCAATTTCATTATTTTTTCATTTTGTTTTTGTGTGATGAATTTGTTTGCTCTGAATAGACCAGCAATGAAATGCGTTGCAACGAATTATTGTGTGTCTAATTGATCTAACAATGTAGTTTCTAGCTTCTGAAAGAAAAGACTCTTTTATAGTTTTTGGGATTTATGACCTGGATATCTGAGAATTATACTCTTAAGCAACCTTCAAAACTACGCAGACCACTTCAATATTTTTCGTCCCTATCAACTTCTCTTCATCAAAGTCTGATTGTTTTCAACTGGAACTCAATTTTAGAGAAAAAGATCACATATAGCTTTTCCAAACAGTGGAGATAACAAAATTTAGATAACACAGTTCATTTCGCTACATGTAAGAGAAGAAGAGAATATTGGTATATATAACAGATGTCTACCAATGCGTGGACTATGAGTGACTAAGGTATACTAATTAGTATAAATCCTCTAGTTCCTCTTTCAGTGGGATGAGAGGACTACGGGGACTTAGGAAAAAAAACATATATTCAGTAGTATACATCTTACAGTCTCCCTTTTACTGTGATGGAGCAACTAGCGAAACTATAAGAACGTATCCTATAATTTTTCTAAGTCTCCCATTTCAACAAAAGGAAGCCTGCAGGATATATACAAAGGAAAATAGGGTGTGGGAGAAATGAAAGTCCACCCCCACCCCCACACCCATCAGTAATATTACCATTAAATTAAACACATACAATGTCAATATTTCAGAATTGACTAAAGTTTATCATAGGATATGTGACTTCACAAAATCAAAATATAGTTTCTTAATGGTAAGGGCACAAATACGCACAACACACATCGTATACGAGAGGGCTAGGATGAAGACACGTATTTGATGCGAAGTATGGAAAATTCGGATTGATCCTGATAGATATTGATCGATATTGACAAGTACTGACAGATCCTCCTAATGGATGATGGAAAGTTTTTGGACAAAATGTTTGTTCACTTCTGACCTGTTAGAAAGTGGTGTAGGGATAAATTGAATTCCCCCTGTCGTTTTTTTTTGTGGGGCGTGGGTGTGGGGTATAGGTGTGGGTGTGAGTATAGGTGTGGGTGTGGGTGTGGAAGACAGGAAGATTGACACCCACATCCTGATGTTGCTGAGGTTGAGTAGGAGAATGATGATGACCATAATCATGATGAACATGACGCTGTCTTATAATTTCATCAGTGGAATCGGTATCCATTGTTTTGGAATGATGTTTTGGTAGACGTATTGAAGTGTCAGAAGTTATAGTTAGATTATTTGAATCTTGCAATGGTTTCTCCGTCATAGATTGAACAGAATGATCATCCCAATCATTTTCAGTGTTAAATTTGTGACGTTATTGTGAACTTCGTTGTCTACTTGATCGATCCAAATGTTCTATATTATCAGCATCTTCCACAGGTGTATATTGTTTGGGCGGTGATGTTTGTTGTTTATGATTTTCATGCGATATTGGAGGTGATGATGGTGATACTTTCTCAACTGTTTCATAACGTTGTTGATCTGAATTATTTTTCATGATAGATATATCATGGTTATTATGATGAGATTTTCGATGATGTCGATGTGTTGTTGTTGGTGACGTCCTTCATAGAGATTCGTGAGCATTTTGTGAAGGATCAATTGCATCGTAAGGTGTTGGTTGCCCATCAGTAGTTTGAAAGTGATGCATGTTCCGATCAGGATTTTTCAGCTTATAATAATGCCCATAAGGATAATAGTTCTCATGCGTTGCATGTGGTTTTGTTTCAGGTAATGGAACAAGATTTCCTTGACCCGGTGGTACTTTGCGAAAAGTTTGTTTTCTTTTTTTTCTTCCCTTCGTGCATTATTAAATTGAGTTGCAAATGGTACACCTTTTTCTGGTAAATCATTATAAAGATCTCGAAGAGTATGAGGTTCCTTTTGTGGTAGATTAGTGCGTGGTGAGAGTGATGTTAATAAATGTTTATTATTTGGAATAGATAGTAGGTTATTTTCACGTAATGATACAATAGAAGATTGTTCTTATATATAAGTATTTTGATCGTCATTAAATACTGGTTTTTCACTAGATTTTAGTGCATCCCAATTAGTTAAATGTTCTTCTTTTAACGGGTACGTCATAGGTTTTATTGTTAAGTAAAAGCGATGAATGAAACAATACTTTTCCTTGAATCAATCCGATTTTTTTTTTGAGTAGAATAAGTCAGCATCAACAGCATATGTCGATGAACGATGCATACAAAACGTTATTTAGACTAATAGAACGTTAAATAAAAACAGTTGTTAAATCAACATGACAATAGTATCATACTCAATAACACAAAATGAAAGCTGATTGTAGTTAAGATTTAGAAGAAAAGAAGTGAATTCATAGAAGTTTACATCAAGATTTGACAGAGCTGCATCATAATACATATATTTAACAAGTTTAATGAAGTTTTTCATGTTTACTCTAAATTTTGTTTGAATAACTTATCCAACTTTTTTTGCACAAGTGAATGATACATAAATTATCGAACAACTCTTCATATAATTTTAGAATCTTTTCATCAGTACTTTTGGATATAGATAAAGTTTATCATAGCAAACAAGAAAAAGAAAGACAAGTATAACTACTTGCGATAGATTAAAAGCGTAGATTTTTTTTTCTTTCCTTACTGTGTATCACATGAAACGTGTGTAGCTATTCTTTTTGTTGTTATTTTGAAGCGATACAAGTAAGGTCATGTTCTATTTAATGTTGGTTTCTTGCCAATCATTTTACTATACAATATCCACGTATTTAAAGCTTTTAGTTCATATTTTTTTTCCTTGTAGATCGAAACCAAAAATAATGTCGGAAGAAGACAATAATTGTCAAGTACGATTACCATTAAAAGATATTCCTTTTGAACTTCAACAAAAAATTATTGATCTTGATGGAAGACCTGATCTTAACCTTTATAAAGTCTTAGCAAATAATCCAACGCTTCTTCGATCTTGGATTGATTTTGCTTATTCATTGCGACGTAATTGTACAACATCACGGCAACTTCGTGAATTAATGATTCTTCGAAGTGCCCAACTTTTTAATTCACAATATGAATGGTTTCAACATGAACAAATGGCAAAACAATGTGGTGTATCAATAGAAAAGATTGATTCAATAAAAGAATGGCAAAAAAGCTCTCTTTTTGATGAAAAAGAAAAAGTGGTACTTGAATTAATGGAATCATTAATTCAAAATGGAGGTACGATCAGTGACGAATTGGATAAAGAATTAAAAAAATATTTTACAGAAGCTGAATATTTAGAATTAATTTTGACAGGAAGTTTCTATATTATGGTACCAACAGTGTTAAAAGCATTACAAATTCCAATCGAAAACTAATATTTTACTTTGTTGCTTCCATTTGAATTATGATTATAACAAGCTTTTATGGCACAATTTGATTGATGTTCATGATTGTTCATCCTATATAAAAGACATCTATTGTCAACTTCACATCGTCAATTTATAAAAATTAAAAACGAATCAGCAGAAATGTTTTTTTTTCATTATCTATTGATGCCACACAATTTGTAATTGATAACTAAAAATCAGACATTCTCAGGAAAACCATTGTTAAGAAAGACTTCTTTGCAATAAACTCTACCCTATATGACGTTCTCAATAGGAATTAACAAAATACAAATCTAAGACAATTAATTTCACTATACTATATTCCTGTTTTGAAGCTTAAGAACATCAAATGAATTGTGGATATACTAAGATATTCAGAACTTCCGTTTGAGATCATTTTAGGATCGAACAACATCGTGGTAAATCGTCTTTCTCACATTAATCTAAAAACTAAAGAAATACAATTGGATTATATATACATCAGTCAACAGTGTGGATAATTCTAAATAAAACGTCTTGTACCAAGTGAGGGCATGGATGTGAGTTCAAAGAAGAGAAACAGTCACACCCTCAAAAATAAACTATTGAACAATTACTTTTATTGATTTCAACTTTCGTCAAGATGAATATGTGATCACTTATAAATTAATGGAATGTATGAATCAAACTATCACCTAATTCTTAATAAAAATAAATTAGTTAGAATAGTCATTCAACAAAAAAAAAACATAATGAAATTCAACGACACAATAAACAAATAAGATTGCAAATAGATGCGAAAACATTTTGTAGCAATAAACTAATCCTATCAATCTACGACTGGTATATGAAATTTCAAATTTTGGTAAATGATAGAGTCCATAGTGAAAAAAAGAACGTCTTTGGAAGAGCATTCGACGTAGTATTGACTAATAGTTTTTGATTATATTAATTGGAAAAAAAATTAAAGGAAGAATTGGAAGACAATGACAATTACCGTTTATATTTATTAATGATTAATAGAGTTAAGACTTTGTATTCTGCTTTTTAAAGGAATCATATTTCTCTCAGAGTCTGAACAATAAACTTTGTTGTTAATTTCAGCCATTTTTTCAAATATATTTCTTCAATAGCCAGACGAGAAAGTTTCTGAACTTTCACAGGGGCCTACACTTATCTTCAAATAGTTGCAGGAGGCGAACCTTTGACTGCCGCCCAGGCAGATAAACTTTTGAAAAAACGTGTTTAAACGTACAGGAATTGGTCTAAAATCAGCAAAAAGTGAACGTTTTTGGCTCACACTTGAGGTTTCCGACTGTGAAGGTATGAGTGTAGATGTGGCTGTGGACGTCATTCAAGGTAAGATATACACCCACACCCTGGATTCCTTACTTTCCTTGCGATATTTGACTGAACTAGATGCTTGAAAAGCCTTAGAATTCTTGGATTCTCTAGCTTCTTCACAATGTTCCACGCAGTAAGATGCCTAGAAAAGCTTGGAATTCTTCGATTCTTTTCCTTCCTTGTGAGGATGTGGGTGTGGATGAGTGTGAGTGTGTGTGTCGGATTTGAATATGAGTGTTGGTGAAGAGAGAACTGACACGCACAATCTCACACCCACATCCACACCCTTCAATCGCCGTCCCGTGGGCAGAACCTAATGTCATTTTCTAACAGCCGCCACTGCCGATCAACTCATCGACTTACATCTCCAGTTACAGCCTCTAATAAAAATGTCAATAAAGCTATTTCTATGATTAGTAATACTTGAACATATACAATATTTGAGAAAAAAACCTCGTATCTTGCAAAATTCAGTTGTATTCTAATTAATATGATGACAATATGTGTTGTATGGACCACTTGTTTTTCCTAACGATTGAATTGAATTGTTTTCGAAATACAATGACATTTCTTTCAGACAGATATAATCAATACATTTTCATTCGCTTGAAGCAGTCGTATTGCCCAAACTTTGAAAATTTCTTTCATTGGCAAAATAAAAATACAAAAAGAAAGACGTTATAAGAATTCAATAATTTGATAACGTAAAAAGAACCATCTAAAATAACAATACTTGTCGTACAAGTTTATTCATTTCTTTTTATAAATATTTTTTTTTTATCAAGAAGATATATCAAAATATCTATTCACATTAATTTTCATTATTGTCAAAAAGTTTCGTGAATTACTACTCGTTTTATTTATTACATTTCACATCGGTACAACTAACATTCATAACATCACGCTTTCATCTTCACAAAGACCTTCAATTTAAATGGCAACAGGCAATGTACATTATTTATTTCATAATAAAAGAAAAAGTATGTACAACCAGCACAAGTTATGAATTTGAAGAGGAAAAAATTCTTATATATAATGAAAGAACAGTTTGACAATCAGAACATGCCAATCGATTATCTTATATTGAACTACATCAAAAAGTTCTAGCGCTACGAAAAACAAGTAAGAAAAAGTTGTAGGATAATACACAATCGTAAACAATATAGTGAATACATTCTGTAATATGAAAGTAGTACCATAGAACAATCAAAATACATTATACTGGGAAAGGTAACATTATATCAATATAATTTTGTTTTCTTCACAGGCGACAGATTTTTTTTTCTTATGTAATATGATTAGATTCTTTGCAAATTTAGCGTTAAAAAAATAAAAACGAACTATTATTCTTATTCCTACATAATCTATGAAACTCTATAAAATGCAATCAATACCGAGGTATAGAAATAAGAGTTGTTTTTTTTTTACATTATTATTTCATGTTATTACTACTTGAAGTGATCAATTGATAAAAAAAAAGATTACTATAGCTTCACTTGCAAAACATTGATTGACGATGTATTCATTCTTTTTTGTTACATGAGTAATCAAGTTGCTTATGGGATAAATATTGCAGCTATGGGTAAAAAAATATATTTGATGTGACAGTATTCTCATTGTAGACATCGATCGCAGCTGGCACTGCATGTCGTCTGGAATGATTATATATTTGCATGGTTATTGTGAAAATTATGATTTATTAAGAAATAAAAAAATATTTTTCTATGTGCCAGATTATTGTCCAATTTAAAGTATAGTATTACGCATTTATTTAAGACAAATAAAGACATTATTTGTCAAAGTTAATGATAGTCGATTAGTTACACAAGAATATTAATAACATTATAAACCCAATAGATGAAGATCTTTTAGGGGTCGGTGTGACATTCACAATCATGATCATTGCTAATTTTTCTTAAAAGTTCGTGATTGTAACCGTGATTGGACTTCGATCACATTTATTAAAATAGTCACACATCTTGTATTTCTGTTAACTGGTTAGTTATTCCACTATAGAAATGATCTCGTTCTTTTTTTGTATAGATTCAGTATCTGTAACTATTTTTCTATACAATAAGTGATATGTATGATACTTCTTGTTCTATTTCGAGATATCAACAGGAATATCTTTGTTAGAAATAAATTTTGTTTTTCTTCTCTTTCGCTTCAATACATTCTTATCGATATATTGGATTTTTGCCAATAAAATACACATACTGTATATGTAAAGAAATTCTAACAAACTAAAACTAATTTTCATGACGAAAACTCAACGCGTCCAAACTTTTCGGACTCAATTCGTGACTAAAAAGGTTTGGTCACATCATAACCATCATAGGATAGAGTTGTAAGGATGTAAATTTTTTTTTTTCATTAGATATAAACAAATATATTTATTTTAAAGAGTACCAACCAA